GATTGTCTTAGGAAAGAGAAGAATACAAATTTTATAAAAAGAGTGTCTCATTACGTAAATGATCTCTCTGCTATTTTTTTTTTTTTTTCTTTTTCTTGTCTCTAGAGAAGTCCTGATTTTTCATCTGCCCTCTAGAGACTAGTTGAGGTCATTTGTTTATTTATTTATTTTACAAAAAAATTCTCTATCAAATCTGTAAAAATTAGCTTTCTAGTAAAATATTTTTCTAACCCTCTAGCCACTGTGCCACTATCATTACATTATATACCAAAGTGTTCTTTGTGTACTCTTAGAAAGTCCTCATGAAAATATATTATTTTAAAATATTTTCAGTAATTAAATAGATCTAAAACATTTTGATAATACTCATAAGTAATTTCTAAAACATCACATAATGTGAACATGGAATAATTTCTTAAACTGAGGTTTTAAATTATTTAACATGAAAAATTCTATTTAAGTAGCAGTTAGCCAAAAACATTTTAACTACAGGCTGAAGTAGCCACTTTGAATTTCTCACTAGTAAGTGTAAAATTGAAATGGCCAAGATGATGTGTACTTGTTTCAAAATCAGGAAATGTTTGTATTAATACAGTTTCATAATTTCTTATCTGAAGTCTGTGGAACCAAATGTATTTTGAATTTTTCAGATTTTTAGTAATGTGATAAAAAGCATATGCCCTATATTATTTAAAACCATGGTGGGGGCTAGGGCAGCACCCCATAATTAAACACATTACTGTTTTTATACAAACATATGAATGTTCACATTAAATAATATAAACTGCAATTTGGGTCAGGTTTGCCACCAAATGATTTCAGCTTAGATTGGGTCTGGCCACCATATTGACTATGAAATAAACCCTTTTTCAAGGAATTTTTGTATGAAAATATGAGATTTTGAAACAAAAGTTTTTCTGCTACTTCCTAGGCATATGATCTTGGTTATTCTTCTGAACGTCAGTGATCTCAAATGATAAAATGAGAACCTTATTCGTAAACTTTTCAGATTCTAAATCTAAATTTCAGTTTAATCCTCTGATATAAAGAAACAATATAATTAAATCAGTTTTATAACACCTCCGTTTAATAACTCCTTAGTTGATAAGACCCTCAAAATTCTTGAAAGATGAGTAGGAATTATTCATAATTTATATATGAAGATTAAAGTATGTTGGTCAAGAAGTATTTGCACTTGCTCTTCAATATAGTTAAAACCAAACTAATTTTCAAGTTCATGAAGACAAATTAGTTTTTGGTTGCAACTTTGATTTCCAGAATGAATTTAGTGTAAGATTCTTATGGTCGTAATTAAAATCTAAACTGTGTAGAGCTGGTGAGGAACATTGTGTGGGTTGCCTGATTTTCCTCTTGAAAATTAGGAGGAACAAGTTAAGTTAAACCAAGGCAGCTGAAAGGGAATGTGTAAAAACCCCATTTTGTTTCAGAGCCTCTCGATGAGTCCTAAATCTACAGGGGCTGAGCTGTCCACTGAAGAAAGACTAAAGTTAGAGGACTGGCAAGGTCTCCTACTAGATAGAGATGGCAGCAGGCTTGGACAGTTAAGCTACGGGTGGGGGATGTAAATGAAAACTAGAGTCAAGGTGAGTAGGCCAGAGCTAACGAACCAGCATAGATTTGTTTTGGAGACTTATTTGTCTGGTACCTGTGTTATGAAAGGAAGAAAAAGTATTTGGTTATCTTTAGGCATGGAATGCTCTTCAATTTTCCATATTTTCTGGTACTCCCTATGGCCTTGCTTCTTGTCACTTCTCTCATTTAACTTATGTGATGGCCCCTGAGGGCATTTACATTTGCCACTCCTGTCTGTAGGCTGTACTATTAAAGCAGATTAAAAGAAATTGAAAGGTTATGGTAGGGAGAGGGCAGCTATAGTATGGACTTAGGAATTGTTATTGCAGTTCTTCTGAGAGGCTAGAAGACATCCATCCAGCTATCACCGGCCTCATTTTATTCATTTCTTCAAATAATACTGAAAATCTTCTATGCTGTATAGGCACTGGGGATACAATCAGAAATAAGACAAACCTAGTCCACTTGTCTATTCAGAGAGACAGACGTCAAATCAGTAAACATGCACATGTGAAGACTGATACAAATTATCATGGAAAAGAGAATAGGTTGAGAGAGAAACAAGGGGACCTCCCTCGTTTAGTTGGAGGGGTCTGATTAGGTCTCACCGAGGAGATTACATGTTGGTAGAGGTGAAGAATGAGTGGAAACCAACCAGGTAAAAAGATGAAGGAAGTGCCTTTATGGCAGAGGGAACAGCAAGTGGGAAGGCCTTGAGGCAGAATGAACATGGTGTATTTGAGAAACAAAAAGACCAGTGTGGTTGGAATGTGTGAATGAGATGAGGGTGGAGAGACAACCAAGGGCAAGGTCATGTAGGGCTTTATAGGTCGTTTAAAGAAGTTTGGATACTATTTTAAAGGGTAATGGGAAGGGATTCAAGCAAGATCAGATTAGAGTCTTTTAGAGGTTGCTTGGGCTACTGTGTGGAGAATGGACTATCAGGGTACAAAGTGAAGCTGCTGCTGTCATCCAGGAGGAGGTGATGGTGGCTTGACTGGTGTAGAGGTAGTGGAAGTGGACAGATTGGTTGTGAATTTTGGAAGAAGAATCTTAATGGATAAAATGTGGGTGTGAGAAGAAACCAGCCCATAGGGAGGATTGCCAATGTTATTAAAGGCTTGAACCAAGATTTCCTTGACCAGAGACTTTGTAGAAATTATACACTGGAGTTTATCCCTATGTTCCTAAAGTTGGTGTGCAATTACCATGATTCTTGGTAACTGGGCAAAGTTTCCAAAAGTCATAAACCTTTCCTATTTTCTCCTCTATTTAAGAAGGTCTAGGTTACTGCAGAGGGCACTGCGTGGATAGTTCAACCTAGAGGATATGGAACAAAAATTTATGTAAAGTAGGTGCTGTTACTTATAGAGCCATTTGGCCAGTCTGTTTGCCCTGGAGGTGATGTGTTCTTAAAAAGATATCAGTTCAGTGCTGTCTCAGATTGGGTTCTCAGGAAGCAGATACTGAGATAGATTTGGGGTGCAGGATGTTTATCAGACATCCACACCAGTGAAAGAAAGGAGGAGGAGCAGGATTGGGCAGATGAAGAAGTCAACTTCAGTGTAGGTCCAACAAAGCCTGGGCCAAGCTGGCAAGAAGCCCTGGGGCAAATATCGTCCACCAGAGCATCCCACATTGGACCCAAATTGCTTTATACCCCTGCCTTACTCAGCCAATGGGTATGAGTATAACCCAGGAAGGTTATGCCTTTGGATGGGGCTGTTCTCTGAAGCTGAGTCCACTCTTGAAGGAGGTAACAGTGAAGGCTGTCCGCAGACTGCACTCCTGCAGCCAGGCAGTGAGTCCTTTGATCTGGCTGGTGCATCTCTGTATCAATCACAAGTGCCACATTACTTGTCATTGAAGTAGTGAATAATTTATTGCTCAATTTATGTAGTTTCTTTTCTCCCAGGAACTCAAGGTAAAACATACACAACTTTTTAATCACAAAATGTGAGGGCACTTCAAAAAGTTCACTGAGAGATTCATATTATCTTTCAATTCTATTTTTCTGCTGACTTTTTGAAGTGCCCTTGTATTTATCCGCTGGGACAATCCAAAAGAGAAAGATTAAGAGGGAAAAGATTGGAAGGAGTGACCAAGAACAAGAAAGGCACAGAAGAAAGTCACTAATGGAGGGAGGTTTCTAGGAGCAAGGAAAAGCAAATTTTAATAAATTACAGAGCTGTGGCACCCAGTCCTGGGTCTCACTTTTAAAAGTACTACAACGAACATATCTTTAAAAATGTTTTTAAAATAACATTGTGAAATTTCAGCTGTCTTTTGTTTCCTCGACAGATGTAGAAACCATGAATGAAAGAGCCCGACCATTCATGGCAATTCAGAGAAATGATAGTTCAGGTATTTTTTTCTTCTTCCAAATCTGTGTTATGATTTATAGTGGATTAGGCACTTTTAAAATGATAAAAAATAGGAATGTTGATTTTCAAAATTTTAATAATAATAGAAATTTTTTAATAATGGAAAGCTCATTTTCTGGTTACACTGAATGATTGGCCAGTTCCCTTACAATGGGTCTGTTTTAATCTTCGCGTGGTCAGGATGAACTTGCTTTTTTTCTGAAATCATTTGAGAGCCCCCTGTAAGTCATGTGATCCATGATTTACTTAATAAACCCTAATTACTTTATGTGGTACAGATTAATTATTCCTATAATTGAGGTAAAAGTACATTTTTTATTTTAATTACTCAAGTTGTTATACTTTATGCTACTTGGCCTTAGTTCACCCTCTACCTATGTTTTCCTTTATCAAAATGGTTAACATTATACTAAACTAGGACATTGTACATATTTGTATGGAGAATACCCAAACATTCTATATCATTTTAAACTTATTTGACTTATCAAATTTTTAGCCTTCAATTTCAACTTTTTTCAAATTTAATTGAAATTCTTTCAATTTTTCTAAGTTAGAAATGCATCTGTGACTTAAAAATTTGTTCATGTAATTTGATTCCTAATGATGTGATTGATATGATACTTAAATATTCACAATTGATACCTAACACTTTAAATGAAAAGAATGGTTTAATAGTGGTCATACTTTGTATATTGACATTATAATTTTCTAAAACTCTCACTGTATTAACTTACATGGAAGTATTTCCTCTGTGCCCTTTTGTTATGCAAAGTATATGTTATGCAAAGTATATATGCAAAGTATATGTTATGCAAAGAATATAGTGGTCATCTTCTAAGAGTTTCTAGAAATAGAGATTCAAACTTATTATAAATGTTGTAATATACTATTTCTTGTATTTGCTTAAAAATATTTAAAAATAAGACCTGAAGCCAACATGTTACTCTAATAATATTTTGACTTCCAATAACATGGTGTTATTTCTTTGTCATTTTTCTGTTTTTGTGAAAAGTAGATAACGTGATATTCTATATGAAGAATGGGATGAGAAGCACCAAGTATAAACCAGTGGACTATCAAAAACTGCGTGCATTAACTGAAGCAAAAAAATTAGCTTCTGCCTCTGTAGAGCTAAAGGTTAGAAACTGTGTATGTGTTTTTCTAATTCTGGAAAATTGAATTGCTGGGAAATATTTATACTGCAAATGTGAAAATAAATGATATTCTAAATAGTTTTTAGAATCTCCCAATTATCAATAAAAGTAAACAGCAGCTAACATTTATTATTGAATGTTCTCAGACACTGTTTATAGTTTACATGCATTACTCATTCAATGTTCATAACAAGTCTATGGGGGCTGAATTCAGCTTTATTTTTGAAAAGATAGTTATTTCATTAGCTTCCAACAATTTCCAACTTAATCCGAAATATAAAAATTGCTAGTAAGTACCAATCATGGAGTATTGTCTGATTTAAGGCTCCTTCTTCAACACCATACAAATATGCCCTCAGGTGCCCTCTTTTCTAGAATTCCATTTTGTGCTCAAATTTATATCATCCTGATTAAACTGTTTATCATCCTAACAAAACTGTTTTCATATCTCTGAATTCTATTCTGACCTATTGTACACATACCACAGGTACACATACATATGTAAACATAAATGTATAATACATAGATTATTTTCTTTCATGATAACACAGATATAAAATCCTGTATAATTTTTCCCTTAATATTTTACCACATAATCTTTTAATATTTAATTATTCTATAATATTTAATTACTCCGATCAATAAATATTTATTATGTGCCTACCATTTACCTTGAAGATACAGTGGTGAGCAAAATATAATCCCTACCCTCATGGAGTGTACTGTTTGCTGTGGGAGGGAGGGAAGTCAGTGTTTATCAAATAAGTCTGGAAATAAAATTATAGTAAGTATAGACTGCAATAAAAACATGCCATCTGGTGTAGAATAACTGGGCTTGATCTTGATTGAGTGGTTAGGGCAGGCTTTTCTGAGGAAGGGACATTGGAATTGGGATCTGATGGCCTAAAATAAGTAACTAAGCAAAACCAGGAGTGACAAGTACTCCAAATAGAAAAAACATGCATTATCATGCCCCAATTTTTGGACATTTGGGTTGTATCCAATTTTGTGATATTGGAAATAAATATCTTCATGCATAGAGACTTTTCACATTTTAGAATCCTCTACCCCCATAGGATTAATTACCGTGACTGGAAAGTCTGAGCCAAAATGTATGAAGGTTTTTTGCTGTTTTGAGACCTATTGCCAAATTTCTTTCCCAATATATTGTTTTGATAAAGATACCACCACAAACATACTCTCTACACTCTTGTCAGTGTTGGAATATGTACATGTATATTCAGAGATATACATTTATATTCCTAATATTATTCGTCCACCCATTCACACCCATCCGCCCATCCGTCCATCTGTCCACCCACCCACCCATCCATCCGAGATACACCAAAAAGGACATTTTGGCTGAATGTAGAATGGTTGAGTGTTAAAATCAGTATAGATCAAAGGGAATTTCTCTTTGATGATAGACTCACTATCAAAGAATAAACATATTTAAGATTTTAACTTATTATTGTGGTTTTTAAAGTTTGACATTAAGTGCAGGAACAATCGTTTCTCAGCACTGACAGGTGCTGGATTGCCCCTCCGGCCACTGTACTGTACATTTGTGAGGTTAAATAGATGCTCACTTTCAACTGGCATTTTAAATAATATCACTAACCTTTTTGTTCATAGTGGAATATAATTCAGGAATAAGCCTTTTGGTTACCTATCTTACCTCTGTACCTGGGATTCATAGCTTGGCAAATCTTAAAAAATCCCTTGTCTTCAACTACTGAAAACGGGCTACAGTCTGTAGCAATCATTTTGACAAGCTTTTATTTCCATTTTTAATCTCCACAGATTCATAATGATAAGGAATTGTCCTTTTAAAGCATTTTTGTAATGTCTGTTTTGAATTTTGGTTAGTGAGAGCAAAATGTGTCCTAGGTGCCTCATCATTTTCTAACACTTTCTTTTCTTCTCCATATAGTTTTCATTTTTTATTATATCTGGACTAAGGGAAGATGTGTTGAGAATGTTGTTGCATATGATTTTTGGAGTCTTCCCTTCTCATTTAATTTAGAGGTGGCAAGTTGATATCTTGGTTGTAATTTATTCTTGTAAGATGTGAACAATTGCCAAATAGGACTTTTTCTTGAAAGACTCATAGCTTAAATGGAATTAAATAACTGGTAATTAAATGCAACTTTTAAAGTATTTTTTTTAATGTTATAAATGCTAGTATACCAAACAGTCTATACTAACTAGAATTATGATTATAGCATCACCTCTACACTAACTAGAATTATGATTATATCACCTTGTAATTCTTTCTTATGTTATTATTTAAATGTTTATAAAATATGTACTGGCTCAAAAAGAATATATTATTCTTCCTAAGGTTACATAGCTAATACATTATCTTAATATTTGTATTAATTATCAGTCTATTTTACTATTTAAATGTGCTCATTTTTTACACATGAAATTAACAGTTTTGATAATCATTGTTAATTATTACAGTACTTTGCTCCAGCAAGATTAAATATGAGTATAAATATATTTAAACTGAATGATAGAATGTTAACATTTATTTATTTATTTGTTTGTTTGTGTAAATTGTTTTGTTTTTTTTTTTACAACCTATGGGGCTGTTGTGAAGCAGTTGGGAGGGAGGGGTAGAGGGGAAAGAGGAAGGAAATAGGACGGAAGGAAGGTGGAGGAGGGGCGGGGTTGAGGCCTGTGGCACCCCCTCATTCCCACAGGGGAGACTAGGGGGCTTCCAGTGGGGGCTCAGTCATTGCTGGGCTGGGTGCAGATGTCAGGGGGATGTGGCTAAAGCCCTTGCCCCCACCACCCCAGCTCAGGAGCCCAGGGCACTTCTTGTGGCAGTTTGGTAGTCTTTGCTGGGCTGGTTGTGTGTGTTGGCAGGGCGTGGCCTAGGCCCTTGGCCCCCCACTGCCCTGGCTCTGGAGAGCCTGGGGCACTTCCTGCAGCAGCTTGGTGGTTGTCACTGGGCTGGTTGCACGTGTTGCGGGGCGTGGCAGGGGCCTGAAGCCCCCATCCTTGGGACTGGTTGTGGGTGTCAGGGGCAATGAGGCCCCCATTTCTCCCCACTCTCTGGCTTGGTAGCCCAGGGGACTTGAAATCCTTCTAGGTGTTATAGGTGTTCTTTGGTGATGTGAGACCTTTACTAGTTAATGTCAAACTTTGTCTCTGGTTGTGGGTATTTTGTTTTTTCTTCCAGTCCCATGTTGGGTTATTTGCTGTTCCCACCACTTAAACTCTGCACTAGAACTAGTTTGTTGTCCTTTGCTTCCTTCTAAAATGGGGGAACCTGTGGAGACCAGTACTTGAGCCCTGTAGTTGAGCTAAATTGCTGCTTTGCTGCTGATTACCTGGGGAAGGCTTTTTGTGCAACTCAAGTTTTAATAGTTGACTTTATAGGTACTTCCAGGTCTTGTGAGATCCAGTTCACCTGGGTTGTGTGGAAACTCTGGTCTGGGCCTGAGTCTTTTCCTCAAACTGCACACCATGCAATTCTTTGTTCCTGACCAGTCTCCTCTGAGTGCTCCTGCAATGGTTGGGGTGCAGATCAACTGTCCTTGCTGTGCCCCAGTGTTTCCCTGGTGGGCCATCTCCCCCACTGCCCATGTTCCAAATACTTCCCATGGGATGGGCTGTGCAGGTCCCTTGCAGTGACTCACTGGCCTCTGAGTGGCTCCTTTTTTTCAGTTGTTGTGGCTCCTCACTCCTGTATGGGCCCACAGGCACCCTAGTAGTGATCTTGCTGGCCTGGGGGCCACCAAGGCCCTCTTCTCCCTGCAGCCTCCAAGCAACTTCATATGAAGGGCACAGCTGTGGCTTTTGCCAGCTCCTGCTCCGTGCACTCAACAGCTCCAGCCTGGAAACGGCCGGGATTCGTAAAGGTTGGAGTGAGGTTTTCTTTCTCTCATCATGGCTTCTCCCACCTCCATGAACTCCATAGGTCTCTCCTCCTCTTCCCCTGAGCTCTAGTGGCCGGAGCTTAGCTGTCGTCACTTTTTAATAATTGTAAATTGGTTGATTTGTGGGAGAGAGTCACGTTAGGGACCATCTATTCTGCCACCTTCGAATGTCAACATTTAAAACACATAAGGAGATTATTGCTTTAAGTTACACCTGGAACACTTGCTATTTGCCTGATTTGAATTACTAATACTGGTATATGATTTAGGTGTGATGGTCATCTCTATAATCACTGTGTCATCGATCATGCACAATTTCTGGAATGCCAGATAAGACACTGAAGTGAACAATAAGTGATCTAATCTTTCAAAGGTTCAGGTTGAAGCCAAATTGTAGATTTGGGCTGAAAACTGAGACAAATTTTTTGGTATATTATATGTAACTGTTTGTTATCAATTTATTAAGTATAAAAGATAAAAATAATTTTACAGTTATTTTTATTTGAAATTCTTTACTTATATACTTCTTGTTCAACTCAAGGATCCATCTGCTAATCTTAAAAACTTTATATTATGGAAAATTGTAAACATGTATAAAATTAGACTGAATGTTATAATGAATTTCCATGTAACATCATCCAGTTTCAACAATTATCAACTTTTGGCCATTATTTCCTTCATACTACCACCCACAAACCTCTCCCTGTACCAGATTGTTGTGAAGAAAATATCAGATATCATAATATTTCACCCATAAATATTTCAGCATGTATCTCTAAAATATTAGTTTTTTAAAAAGCCCTACAATATCATTACCATGTCTTAAAATGTTAATTTTATGATAATTTCAAATATCCAGTTAGTGTTAAATTTCCCTGATTGTATCAAATTTTTTCTTAATGTTTATTTAAATCAGCATCTAAATAAGATCCATATATTACAATTGATTTTTAGTTTTTAGATTTCATCCTCTATTGTCTTGTGTTTTGTAATTTACTTTTTTAAGAAATTGCATTGTTCGTACTTTACAGTTTCTTACAGTCTGAATTAACACCAATTGCATCCTGGTCGTGTCATTTAACATGTTTTTCTGTCTCTTCTATTTCTAGTAAATTGGTAGTTATAGCTAGAAACTTGATCAGATTTAGGTTCAATTAATTTTTTTTTTTTGCCAGGAACACGTATTGATGGAATTTTTGTGCTTTAATCTTTTTCTATTACCAATAGTGCTTCAGTGAATAGCTTTGTGCATATGTACTTTTATACTTTTGCCAATGTAGTTTTCAGATAGATTTCTATAAATGAGATTGCCAGGTTAAGAATAAATCCATATGAAATATTGCAAGTCATTCTCCAGATTCCCTTCTATGGGGGGGTTGTATCATTTTTTCTTCTCACTAGCAAGGTAACAGAGAATGTGCTTCCCCATAACCTCACAGAGTGTTTTGTTAAACATTTGAGTTTTTGCCAACCTGGTAGATGAGAAATTGCATCTTAGTGTAGTTTTTTTTTTCTTTTTATTTATTTTAG